AGTGCCTATGGAAGAACCACCTATTACAGAAATGCGGTGTTACCAGCTTTCAACCCAAGTTAATGAATTCAGTCAACCTGCCTATCACAAATGCTGCATCTGATTAACTGGAGGGGAAAGGTGCTTGCTTTATTTGCCTTGTCTGGCCACCCTATGTCTGTGATCATGAAGATGGAATAAACTCATGAAGATGGAATAAACTCTTAACGTTCAGTTTTCAATCATTATTTGCTCTTGGAATTCAGTGCACTATATGGAATGCCTGCTGCCCTGTTGCTCTGTGTTTCATGCATGCATTGCAGAGTTTGTTTTATACTTTAAAGGTGAAGACTTATTGAAGCTAGGTAGTGTGACATCACACTGGGGTTCAAGCTTTAGTACAAGCAAGGGTGGGGAGAAGGTATCAGCTGAGCACTTACATATTTAAAATGCCATGTAATTCTCACAGCTGCCTGTCTTGGATTTTATTACACGTCAAAAAATAGTACATATTTGCTTTTTTAGGTACTTGCATTTGGTTAGGACCTCTTTTTCTCTCAGGGAGTAAAAACTCTTAAAAAAAAAAAAAGGGGGGGATCATTTAGGACTTTATGTAAGTCCTAAATTCTGTTTCGTAAGTTAGTATTTCAGTCAGGTGTGGCATATCCCTGTAACTCCAACAACTGGGAAATTGAGGCCAACCTGAATGACAGACCTGTCTCACCCTCCCCTCAAAATTATTAGTTCATATTTAATATGACTAGCTCTAATGTCATTTGAAAATATTCTATATTTTCAGGATCCAGCCAGGCAGTTGAAGTTAAATATCTATCCAAGCCCTGGCCATAAGCAAAACAGATTTGTAAGGACTGAGTGCAGGGTGATAGGTTTCCAAATGGCCAACATAATGGATACTTTCCTTTCAGTGGTGACCGTGGTGGAACCCAGGGCCTTTGGCTTACTAGGTTAAGTGCTCTACCACTGAGCTACATCCCCCAATTTTTTATTTTGGTGATACTGAGGACTGAATCCAGGCATTTACAGTGAGCTAGTATGCCCAGCCCTATTTTTTCAAACAGGTTTTAAGAGTTGCCCAGGCGGTACTCGTATAATTCAGCCTTCTGGAGTACTGGGATAACAGGTTTGTATGGTTACACTTGGCTTCCAGCCCCTACTTTGAGATAGGGTTTGCTGAATCACGCAGGCTATCCTCTAATTCGAGATCCTCTGCCTTAGCTCCCAGAGTAGCTCCATACCTGGCTGAGAGAGACATGTTAA